CTGAAGAACCTATAGTCAGATAATATAGTCACAAAGAGCAGACAAACCTTAGGGTTCAACTTTAATCAGGTCTTGTAGATATGCTTGGGTGTGTCTGGCAGAGGGAGTGGGGTTTGTGGAGGACACCACCATGGTGTCATGTCCAGGCTCAAGGGTGAAGTTGCAGTCCTGATGACACCATGATGAAATCCTCCATCCAGGTTGCTTTTGACAGTAGGTTTTCAGAGCCATCATGTATTGGATGGAGCAGGTGCTACAGTTGGCAGATTGTTAAAGGGACATTAAATGTAGTTTAAGTTGTTTAAATACGATAGATTCAAAGCCACTTTTTCAGTATTTTCGAGCTCTGTTGTGCTGTATGGCAAGCAGCAGTCCAGTTTTCTGTTGGATAACCATTGTTTATAGCTAGTTGGTTATATCTCTAGGCATCATCTGATAAAAGAAGAAAGCAAAGTTAAGTGGAATGGGATGTAAAAAAAAAGAGGGTAGTAGATATGCTCCGACTCTTTTCTATGAATGCTACATGTATAATAAAACTCTGCCAGGGAAAGAAAATGGCCATGAAGGTTTTGCAGTGTCAGAAGTTAACCCACAGCCCCTGTTTCTGCCTTGCTACCTGTCTGCTGGCAGCTGGTGGTGCCCAATGAAACCTGTCAGGTGTTTGTCCCTCCAGAAAATAGCATCAACTCCATGGCCTTTCCAGCTGACCAGTCCATCTGTATGTCACTCTTTTTAAAAATCCTGATTCAATTTTCCATAACATCTTTTTTATATCAGTCAACCTCAGGCTACAGGAAAATATTTTTGCCTTTATGACCGCTGGTGTTCCACTCCCTTCCCAGCATCTTTCTTATTTCTTCTCTATTTTCTTCCCTAAATACTTCTTTTCTACAATTTCTCTCATTGTTATTCTACTGTCCTCTTCTGCAGTCAGTTCCCTCTAAGAAAGGTAGGGCTGAAACAGCGAGTGATGCTACAGGAGGGTCATTGTTAAGGCTTTCCAGACAAAGTTCCCTGCTTCTGTTCCTTGGCATGTATGAAACAGGCAGGAATATATGCCCTCTCCAACAACTATTATTTCACAGTCTTTTTAGTCATGAGAAGACAGCAGATAGTTGTACAAACTTGGAAAACATCAGCAAATTGTTGCACAGTGTGTTTTCTGGTATGCAATTCTCATTTGTAAATCGGGACTGAATCCTGCCAGTATGCTTAAATGGAAGAGGGGAGTAATTTCTTTGACAGAGCTAGAAAACTTATGTTTTGTGTGTTGGCATTTTTGGCAGGGAACATTTTTTTCTTTCCTTCAAATTAACATTCCAAGACTAGATTTAATCAATTTTTAAAAAGAAAAAAAAAAAAAAAAAAAAAAAAAAAAAAAAAAAAAAAAAAAAAAAAAAAAAAAAAAAAAAAACCCAAAAAAACAAAAACACCTCAAATTTTGACAAAATATTTTAACTAAAAAGTTTCATAAAATGTTTTCATTAAAAAGTGTCATATCTTAGTGTGAGATGAGGGATAGAAGAAAAAGAAAAAAAAAAAGAAAAATCACCCAAAACAACCAGAAGCCCAATTTGGTTTGAACACAATGTTTTCTTCTATCCCAGAATCCTTTCTGGTTTTTTAAGTTTAATTTTTTCACAATCAAGATAGAAATTTTTTTTTTAAAGTCTCAAATCAGACAGTTGTATTTTTTTTAATTCCCTTTGTTGTTCTTGACCTTCCAGCAGAAAGCTCAGTTACTTGCACATTTTTTCCCTACTTCTTACTTGCCTATCAATGACAGCCTGACCCTTGAAGAACCTCCAAGGATTGTTCCTGTGTTCCTATGTGACTATGTCAGTGTTTGGGTTAAAGAGTATGACATGTTTTGGAAGAAATATCTCATTAAGAGCTCGTCTTCTATGCAGCAATAACAAAGAGGAAGATGTGCAGGGGTGCTTTGTGGAAGGGAAGTTAGTAATGTGTCCTTTTGGGCAGCAGTGAGCTTTCTGAGCATTACGTAGAATTATCCAAAAAGGGGACTCAGTCTTGTTGTTATAAGACATCAAACTTATATCTTAGGCCTGAAATATTCAGCCAGCATTTGGGACTGATAACAGAAGTTGGGTTTCACAAGACTGCATAGGGGAAACTTCAATTTGAGTGATAAACGCTCAAAAAAATTGGGGAAATCAGCATTAATATGTCAGACAACCATCATTTTGGATACAACTCACATCGTGCACACAGGCAGAATGGAAAGATTTTTTTAGTGTCTCAGCACTGTTGTAGTGACTTGTAGCTGCATTTTCTGGGTGACAATGAATAGATTTGGAAATGAGTGTCAGTGCTAGGAAGTAGCTTCATCACCTGTCAACCAGACACGTCCTGAGGCAATGGCACATCTCTGTGTTTTTGGGAAACCTAGGTGTGTGCAATGAGTTTGGTAAACGTCCCAGGAGTTCACTGATTTTGACCTTTAATGTGCCTTTTCTCAGGCATTTCTTTCATTGTTGCCTATTTGGTCCCACTAAAATTCCTCAGATTTGCAGTTTTTAGGGTCAGTGCAAGATAAAAGGAACAGGGTCTATTAGTGACCAGCCCGCTGCAGACACGCAGGAACAATGACAACCTGCAGTTGAATTCAACAAGAGGCTTATTGCAAGGAAAGAAAAGCTTTGGGTTTGCCTTTGTAGCAGCTGAGCAATTTGCTCTGAGTATGCCAGTTTGCGTAGGTGCGTGGTCCAAGAGAAAATGTACACATCAAATAGCGGGTAGCAGGGGTTTTTTCTAATTTATCT